AGATCCATCATCACAACTGAGACTTCACTTGCCTATGTGCAGCATGGTAGCTTTTCAGCTAGCTGTATGACTAAATCCTTTCTGTCCACTGAAGGCTCCCCTTCATGCACAAATGCAGCCTCATGACAACCAGGCAACTATTGACCAGACTCCTGTCCAGCTATCCAAGACTAAAAAGTGAGAAAGAATGACCCTTCATTATCCCAAATGTTCCAGTTTATTTCAGACACTATGACACGGTACAGTAACAATTTTGAGGTTCTCATGTTTCTATCTTTTCCTATCACACTGTTTTTGGCATTTTCACAGTCTGAGTAGGATACACATCTAGGGGATGTTTCAGTTCTTTCATGAAAGGATTACACAGGTTGGAAAGGAATTGAATCTGGACTCATTTTCTGGGCTAATGTATGCAGAGCAGGCAGCAGGACCTCCTGCCTGTCTTAAGGTCATTCTTCAAGAGGAACAGACACTGCAGGTTCTCTTACCAGGGTACAACCAGGCTTGAGAGCACAAGAGTGGACTGCTGGACTGCCACAGTCCAAGCGCAGGTTCTTCAGATTCACCATTGCCTGTTTCCTAGGAGCTACATCTAAATAGCTCATCCCTCAGCCTAATGTACTTTTTGGCCCCAGTCACCTTACAGAAGAGCACAGTATATGAAGACAGATGCTAAATTCTAGGCTATGAACTGGACCTTTGAGGCTAGATGCCTATTTGTTCTCTTTTAAATGAATCTGGGTCTGAGATGCAATCCACTTTCTTCAGAGAAAGAGAGAGGAGCATGACAGTAAGACTTCTGCTCTGTATGAGGCTTGAGTGGCCTCCTTTCACTCAAAAATTAAGACCATTAGAGAGCTAATGCAGAGGTATCAAAAAGCTGAGCACAATTATGAAGCCAGTAAGAGTGATTTGCAACATGGCATTCAGCATAATTAGGAGCTGAAGCACCCATTAGCAATCAGAAAATGGACAAATTGGTTTGTACCTACGTAGGCTAAAAATGTTACCATTTCAATATTACCATCTAATGTTTTGTTTTTTGACTCTACCCTCATTCCCAGTGCTGACTTCTCCCTCTGTTCTCCTAACTGTGGGAGTGCTAATTCGTTAAGAGAGCTCCAGTGTTGTCATACTTCTACAAGACCTCTAATACCTCTTTAGTGAGTGATTCTTCATGTGAGGCCAATGCTCTCATTTAGCCTGAAATCAACTCATGTGAAGTTTATTCATTCCGTATCTGGAATCCATTTCAGTCTTGATCTAGGTGACATCTGTCAAATCTTTTAAAGAACAGCAGAATTTGTAGAGCTATTTCACATTGCTTGGTTCACATTGATTTTATGGTTTCTGTATTTGAAGTAGAAGTGCTTAGGATTTTACAATACCACGCAGCACATGAATGGTGCTAGCAAGTCAGACATTACATCTTTCCTTGTTATTTGTGTTCTAGCACTTAGAGTTTCTTGATTTCTTCCATTTAGCTGGACTAATAGATATGGCTTATGTGTTAGCTACCACAGCATTTGGGCTGCGAATTCTCACGGATGGGGAAAATCACACGGTCAAAACCAGACCACTTGAAGTAGTTTAGAAATAGCAGGAAGAGCAAATCAGAAGCCTTTGCCTTTTTTGGAACTTATAAATGTCACAGTAACCACAGTTTCAGGATAGGTTTTTGAAAAACGTGTAAATAACAAATGGAAATTATTTCAAGTAAGACCAGCCAGCAATACTCCCTCAACAGCCATGCTCCACCTGAAATCAAACTTGCAGTATATCAGATCACCACTGAAAACAAGCTGAGCTTTTCCACCTGATTTGCATAGCAGGTCAATAATGCTTTCCATCCCAAATGTCCACACTCCTTTTCACTTCCTTCCCCAGTGTATGGCAACTGCTGAGTCACGGCCTGAACCTCTGATTGATCACCTGAGGTGAGCCATGAGTCAGCCAGAGGAGCACAGGTGAAGGCAATTCACCTGTGCTACCGGAAGGGGTGGAGCCAGGCTCCACCCCTCCTGGACCTATTTAAGAGCTGGCTACCAGAGGGGAAGGATCTCTTCTGGAGATCCTCCTCTTTGATATCTTCTAGTGAGCTCAACCCAAGGGTAAGCTCTTCTACTTATTCTCTTTTGTGATCCCTGTTTGCTTTGCCTTACTCTTTTGATTATATTGCAATTATAACATCTTGGTTATACACTTTGCCTTACTCTTTTGATTATATTGCAATTATAACATCTTGGTTATACACCCAGTCAAATCTCTCACTGAATTCTACAAATGCTAGAGCAGCATAGAGTGGGGCTTTTTTGTGTTTTCGTTACTTTCTTTTTTTAAATTATCTGAATTGTATTCCAAAGAGGGATAGAAAAGCCAGGAACACCCATTTTGCAAGGTGTAGCAATAGGGCAGATTGGTACAACAAGAAAAGTACAACAACAAACGTGCAATGACAGAAGGACCAGCACAACAGAAAAGCACTGTAAAGGAAGAAGATGACTCACCCATATCAGAAGATTCCAGGTTCACAGGAGGAAGCTTCACCAAGGAAGGATCTGCAAGAAGAGATCCTTCCCCAGTGGCAGTCAGCCATTAAGTGAGGTCTAAGAGAGGTGCAGCCAGGCTCCATCCCTTCCTGTCACACAGCTGAATTGCCTTCACCTGTGCTCCCAGGGCTGACCGGGTCCTTTCCCCAGGTGCTCCATCAGTGGTTCAGGCCGTGACTCAACAGTTCCCATACATAAGCATTTTGGAGGTTTTTGAAAAATTCTGCATTTAAATCTGGCAAACTCTAAAATCCCTTCCTCTTTGTTAGCAGAATTGTGCTTTCTTGTTCCTATCTTCTGAGTAGTGCATTGTGCAAGCTTTTAGATCTGTAAGCTGTGTTTGTTCTGCAGGTTATGTGCAAATTCCTCCACCTATTGTCTCAACCCCCTTGTAGGAGAAATTACTTGTGTTATACTTGCTTATTATTCTGCTTAAATCCTATATAAGAAAAAAAAAAAAAAAGCATGCATTTACTCTTATTGCTGTGGGTTCTTCTTAAATAATAGTTTCTGGCACGACTGCACTAAACAAACAAAATCAGCAGATAAAGTTAGCTACTGAACGACCGGACGGAGAGAATGCTGGAAAGGGAGGAAGAGCACAGAGAAGCACAGGAGTGACTTGCGAGCAGTGAAGGAGGTGAAATGCCGGTAGATGGCACTCAAATCATCGGCATAACGCTGGGCTTGGGGGTCCCTGAAACCTGTACGTTGAAGCTGTTGTTTGCGAGCTGAGAGCACAGATCCTAGCAGCTAAACAGATTTGTGAGACTGCAATATTTAACAGTGTCTGAGTTGCTATGCCTCAGCAAGCAGAGCTGCTGGAGTGCAGAAGACCCAGAGAGGTGCAGATGGAAACCACAACTGGTTGCGGAGAGAGGACGTTGTCTGGAGGCGGCTGGTTCAGCCATAGTGATCCACTCACTGGCATGCAGCAAAGGTAGATACATCTTCCATTGCAATTCAAACATCTCTCACTGTCTGCTTCCCATCTCACCCTAGAGACAGCCTCAAAACCGTGGGTGCATGCGGGTGTGGGAGGAATACAGAGCCTGGCTTTGCAACATGTTTTAAACAAGACTATGCGAGCAGGCTAAATAAGGCAACGCTACCTCTTCTCTCAACAAGAGACAAGTCACAGTAGCTCTCAGTTTCTGTGATTTGTTTCAAAAAATAGGGGACTCCCTCCGCCCTCATCTCCTTATGAATAAGAGCTAAAGAGGTTCCACTTTGATCTAGTCCCTAAACTTGGAACCACTGAAAACAGAAACGTGTATGCTTCTATGCAAGGGGCTACAGTGCAAGCATAAATCACTGTGCAAGTACTGCTAATATTTGCCTGAACTTTGTTCCCTCCTTCCTGCCTGTAGGGTTCACAGAATATCTTCAGAAATAAAAGGAAACAGACTATCAAAAATGAGTTGCTTAGTGCCTCTTAGAATATGCATACTTTTTGTATATGCAAGTATCAAAAACATAGAAACTAAGCCATTAATCCTTAATGAAACACCTTTCAAAAAAAATCCATCTCTTCACTAGCAGTGAATATTACAGCTGCTCACAGCTACTGAGACTGAACCTTTCTTTCTCCAGAGCAAATACTCTTGGTACTGTTGGGCTGAGTGCAGATGAATCTACAAGAATCACGAATATTGAGGCACTAAGGGATTTGGAAAGAACCAAAAAGATGCAGGAGCAAGATGCTGAATCTAAGGCTTCTCCAGGTTTTTATGCTGACAACACCACAATCCAGATTGCTTCATGCTCTAACGTGCACATTAAAAACTGAGACAAATAACAAACACTATTTTGTTGATTAAAAAAAATATATATAGCTTTTTTTTCTTTTCATGTAGACAGTTCCAATGCTGCTACTTATAGTACTGCAAACAGAATCATTTAGCATCTGCTGCTCCATCTATCCCTTTGGATAGAAACTTGTTTTTGCTTTTTTTCCCCTCACGTCTAATATCATATGAAGACTGAGCTGATAAAGATTAATCTCTGAAAGGCTCAGGTCTTGCACAGCACTTTTTTTGCTACCACAGCTCAAAGCAGAGCTGGAAAGCAGGTACGACAGGCGCAGCTCCAGGGAGCGGTGTGGGAGGGAAGCTGAATAGGAGGAGCGTGAGGAACCCAGGCTGCCACTGCTTTACCATTGCTTCATCCTCAGCCCTCCTGGCACAGACTTATCCTCTGTCACAAGATCTCCTCCATCAGCAGCTACCAAACCTCTTAGATGAGACCAGTTCCTCAGAACCCTTTGTCTGACTTCCTGGAAGATACAGTATCTGGAAGAATCATCTGAAGAAAATTGCTTCCTAAAGCAAAGGCACAGGGCATTGGAAAACTCAAGCATTCAGCCTCTGGCTGCCATTAACAAACACAGATCTTCCCCACAGCAGTCAGGGCTGCAGCAACTGCTCCCTGGTCTGCAAGCAGCCTAGATCCATGGAGGAGGAGGAAGACAACTTTATGCTTTTCTTTGGGGCCAACACCAGCAAGTGCAGCCTTGAGACTAACCAAACAGGAGCCCCACCATGCTGGTCAGGGCCAGCCAAGGGAGGTCCTGAGGTGGTGATCGTACCGGTGCTTTTTGGTTTGATTTTTCTCCTGGGAATGGTGGGGAACACACTGGTGTTTGTTGTTTTGGGTCGTCTCCGGCCTGGGAGACGCCCATCACGCAGTGCCACCAACATCTTCATCCTGAACTTGAGCATTGCAGACTTCTCCTTTTTACTCTTCTGTGTCCCCTTCCAGGCCACTATCTACTCCCTGCCAGAATGGATCTTTGGTGCCTTCTTTTGCAAGTGGGTTCACTACTTGGCCATGGCAACAATGCTGGTCAGCATCTTTACTCTGGTGGCCATGTCTGTGGACAGATACATTGCTGTGGTTCACGCCAAGCGTTCGTCCAGCATCCGCAGCAAGCGCAACGCTGCCCTCGGCGTGGGTGTCATCTGGTTGCTGTCTCTACTCATTGCCATCCCTGTGGCCCAGCACCAGGCCCTTATGAGCGGTCATCAACAAGCACCCAACAGCTCCTTCTGCTGGGAGAATTGGGCAGAGGGCTCAACAGCCAAGCAGACGTACAAGGTTATGATCCTGCTAGTGGGATACCTCCTGCCTCTGGTGCTCATCACCTGCTGCTATGCCAAGGTGGGTAAGAGGGATGAGAGTAACATTCGAAAAGAGGAAAGGATCATTTCCAGCCTTTTGCTGGCCTGGATTCACACATGCAAACTACTCAGCCAACAAATCAAATAGATCCAATTTAATTGTACTCCTTGCTAGGGTAGGATGCTTCTCTGGTGTTGGGAGGATACGAGAGGTGTTGTAGAATAGAATGAAATCACCAGCTCACAAAGAGGACTGAAAAACATTTCTGTTCAGGTACAAAGCGAGGAACTGCTACAAGTTCACTCTCAGCTGACACTCAAATTTGTTAAAAACTTTTGCTGTTTTTTGCAGTTTTTAGTTTGTCCTCTCTTAATAAAAATTGATTACTCCTAGGAAGAAAAGAAAATTATAGAGGAAGCAACCATGCAGAAAGTTACAGAAAAAGTGTCAGAGAAAATCATTTCTGCCGTTTCTTTATTTTACTGAACACGAAGTCCTGACTTTGTGTCTTGCAAAGACTTGAAAAAACATTTTAGGATTCAAGTCTTATTCAGCAAGGCATCTCTTTCTTACTTCTTGTAGATTGTTACTGATTTTTTATCTCCCCTGATTGATCTTTAGAATGTCTGAGACAGATGGTAAACCTATGAGTTGTGCTAGACTTCCAGAATAATTTTTCTGTGACTTTTTAATTAATCTCTTATTGTGCAGCAGCTTGTGACTGCCAGGAAGTGGACTTCCTTATCTCTAGTCAGTTGCAGGTCAGCTCTCCTGAAAAAAAAAAAAGTCTTGGAATTTTAGTACATGTCTGTTTAATCAAAAGTTACGATACTTTCAATGCTACTTTATTTTAATATCATCAGTGCCATGAAAAAGGGAAGGCTCTTAGATTTAAGCTATCTGCCTCTCAGGCCCTGCCTGTCACAACAAGAAAAAGCCACTAGTTTATATATTCTGTCACCGTACTCCAGCTGTTTTTTTCCCCTCACTGCCCTTGGTGAGCACAGCAGCAAATGAAAAGTAAGGTGCATTTGACAGAGGCTTTATTTTGTCCATTAACTGCTTTAGAAAATTCAATCTTTTACCTCCAAAAGCTGAAGTATAAATGCTGTCAGGTCACAGTTGTGCTATAACCAGGGGCATAAAGATTGATTTAAATGTCATTAACTGAGATTTTCCTGACAGTGCTCTAACATTTCTTATGACCCTCTCCAAAAGAGGAACCCATGCAACTGCTCCATTTGTCAGTGTTGCACTCAGGAGTGCCAAGGCAGTCATAAGTGCTGGCAGCCAGGTCTCTGCCTTTATATGTAAACAGCCTAGGGAGTAAATGTAGATGATTTAAGTACAGTCTAAAATTTCAAATCCACGTCAAGATTCCTGTCAATTTCAGCACACAGCCAGTTGAGCTCTTACATAAAGCTACATCTTCTGAAAGCTTAGCTTTTTCACCTTCAAGAAACAAGCTTTGAGAAGAAAATTGGAGAGTGCTTAAAATTAAAAGTCAGAAAGCATCATATTCAACTTTGAAGTTACTCTAGAGCAATTCTTTTAACTTTTAGTACTTGTGTATGAAGTTCAAATACTAATATAATTCAATTTGCTGTTCAATTTATTGTTCCTTCTTTCAAGGTTTTGTATCATCTCCACACAAAAGTAAAGAATATTTCTAAGAAGTCAGAAAGATCAAAGAAGAAGGTAAATATCTTTGATTTAATTTGTACACTAATGTAATTGACATGTCATGTTTTTTAAACGACTAGTATCCTTTTCAAGTTCCATTCAGTTACAAATGTCATCCATGTCTTTCAGCTGAAGTTCAGATTCATGTTGTCAGTTGTTGTATCTTTATAGACAGCACAAAATGAGGCCATTATCGAATTGCTCTATTGATCTCCACATACATGCCTGCTTGACTGTCTTTTGATTTTTTGTGCTATAACAGAAGTCCTACAAATACAGTATTTTTACACTGACAGCAGAAAGATACTCATATATAAGAAGATCTAGGTATTAGAGTACACTTCAGTAAGTTAAAAGGAAAGGACCCTGAAAATGAAGTACCTCAGTTTTGCAGCTGTTTGCATTGCAGTTCTTTAATGTTTGCAACTATTATTTGGTGGATTTAGACCTCGGTTGGCACTTTGATCCCTTTGTGAGGCAAACATCAGGGTTATTTCATTCAAGCTGTATGAAATACGCAGATTTGCAAGAATTTACCAAGGAAAATACTAAAGATGGAATTTTCTCACTAAGGATCTTTGAGTGGATAAGCCATAATTAATAACAGTGTTCAGATAACAAAACTCACCAACAGCAGTGATGAAACATGAGATTTACAGGACACGAAAAAGAAAAACTCTATTTCACTCAGAAATGTTAAAATCATTGTGTGTGCAGTGATAAGAAAAACTGTAGGTAATCTGCCTGTTAAAGGCAAGTTGTAGGGAGGCACTATCACTAGGTGCTGGTAGGACAATCAGGTCACAGTTTCTGCCTGCAGCACAGCAACCATACAACCCAAATGATCAGTAAGCGTGCCACCAACTAGATGTGACACTCAGAGGAGATGACTGGGAAATGCTTTGATTTGCCAGCCCAGCAGCTACCATGACAAAAGGCAGTGAAGATCTGTTGATGAATTTATTTCAGAAATAGAAATGAAGTGATAAAAAATGCAGTTCTTTTGCATAGAATAACTTCATGACTTCACAAGTTTACCCAGTTGCTTTAGGTGTAAAAAATCTCGAACAAATCCCTAAACAATTTGTATGGTTTAGATTTCACTCCTGTTCCTTCCTTGCCTTTGTATTTATGTCCCAATACAAGCTTATTTCATATATTTGAAAAGAATGCTACCAACAGTCAAAGATTACTAGCGTCATCTTCCTGCAGTGCACTGAAGTTACAAAATATTTTTTCTTAAATGACACTCATGTCTTTAAATGCATCGTTCTGCACTGGTTCCACATTTGACCTGTAGCATTAAATGGAAAACAGTTCCACAATTTCTCCAACTGTTTGTTTCCTGATTACACAACTGAGAGGACTAATCTTAAAATATACCTTCGACTGCCTTCTCAAACGTGTCAATGATAGAGCGCTTTCTCTCTCTCCTGTTAAGTACTTCCCTAGTCATAGCTCTGAAATGCCTAGAAGCTATTGTTAATTCTGGCACTTAAACCTAGTTAAACTGTTGATCCAAAGATTAAAAAAATAAAATAAAATCAGACATCACACCACACACATGCAAACTATCTTCCAAAATTTGTCTCCTTACAGCATTTTCTGCTGAGAAATCTCCTTTTCATCTAGCTTTTTTTTGCAGACCGAACAGCATCTTTGGCATCCCTTATGCAACTACTTTTTGCTCTAACTACTTCTCTTAGAACTTTATAAGGCATCCTTCTTGCACAGTGTGCAGACTAACTCCATTCCCATGTATGCTTTCAGAGTACCCTTGAAACACACTGAATGTCAATCATTTAAAGCAGATCTTCCTAAGAACACTTCACATTAGAGCCTAATAGGAAATTCATATGTACATGTTAGTTCTGTTAAATTAGCTTCTTTCATATGTATCTAATTGGTCCATTAAGGACAAGCAGCTGCACTTAGTTTTAATTCAAAAACTTCATCAGAGATTAAATGAGCATCTTTTGTTTATTTTACTCAGAATTTTGACAAGTGAATCTTGCTCCACATTTGGAAAGTTAATTTAGCCTATACAAAACATCTAGCTTTATGAAATATGCGTGTAATTTCAGTGGAGAGACCCTTACCACCTTGGACCCATCAAAACCAAGTGTAACATAAAAGCAAGATCTTACAACATGAGGTGATAAAATTACTTGGTTCTTATCTGCTGTTTTAGCATGCATTTGACCACGCTGACAGAAAAAAAATCAGATACTGACATAAAAAAAAAAGAATTCAGTTTGGATCTATGGCCATTCTTACTTCACTCCTACAAATTGAAGAAAACAGGCAATTGAGCTGATATCCTCCTCCCACCTCTAAGAGAAGGGTTTTAGCGTATGGCCTGTCTGTGTTGCTTTTGTTTTTAACAGATGAGCAGTGAATTTTGTAAACAGCTATTCATACATATTTCATTACCTACATCTATGCTGTTTATGCAAGCAAAGGTCTCAAAAAAAAAAAAAAAAAAAAAAATCAAATTGCAGACATAGAACCTTGTTGAACAAGAGTTTCTAGTGAAATGTTGTCTGCATTACCACTACAAGCAAATTGTTCTGCCATGAGCTCCCATGGATTTGCTATTCAGAACCCCAGAAACTTTCTTTGCACTATATGGGCTCCTGAAGATAGAGTAAGTTCAAATAAAACATAGTTTAGAAATAAACTGCATGCCATAGAGTTCAGGGAAGGGACTTCTCATGGACAGCACTGCAGAGGCTAGCTGAAAACACACTGCTATTATAGTACTATAGGATCCTCTCAAAACAAACAAAAAGCCTTATGATTGGGTAAGATTTTTTGTTTTTAAACAGCTTGTTTCAGGATCTAAAGCATTTGGTAACCTCATTGGAGTTTTACTATTCTTATTCTATCCAACTCCAAATAATAATGTAGCATTGGTAATATACAGAAAAGGCCTCATCCTAATTCAGACAATTTAAGCCACTGAATAGAGAAACTGATGAATGCAGTAGGGAAGCATTATAGGGACAAATCAAATTTAAGCCACTTGAATGGTTAGAAAGGAAGCATATTTGATCTGCCATTGGTACATCCTCTGAATCTCAAATCAACATGTGAAAGATAAGGCCAGTATTTACAGAACATGTGAGAGAGATTGCTAGATGCAAATCTAGGGAAATTTCTAAAACCATAATGATCACATGGCCAAGTGAACAATTCCAGTGTTGTAGTTGTATATTCCTGACTTTCTTAGTTGCAGAGCTGCAACAAAGAAGGCAACATAAAACTGTATTTAATTCCATCTGAGCACATGGACTATAGTATACAATCCAGATAATTGGTACTGTACATCAACCTCATCCTTTAAAGATCATACTGTAACTTCAATTAAAAAAACAACTAACAGCTGAACAACTTAATGAAATATACTACAAATTTTTTATTCTAAGAAGTTGTTTCCTTGTGTCTTCCATCAACTTCTTCTGCAGTTTAGATGCACAGCATGATTTCCTGTGCCCGCCCCTGCAGCAGTGCTCTCAGCCTTTCCCTGAGACCTACGCAGAGTGTGCTACCAACACACCCAGCAGAAAAGCACCAGCTGCCTAGAGACAGAGCAGAGCTGCACAGGCAGGCATTCATGCATACTGTCAGACAGTTGAGTAAAAGAACAAAACTCAGTTAAAAAGACTGGTTTTTAGCTACCTGCCCAGGTAAAAGCAGCTCTGACATATACATCTGAAATAGGACAGCATTGCCATTTAATTTCTCATCAAGGGATCCTTGTCAAAAAATTCCTTTGGAAACTAGCTTATGAAGCCTCTTCTCTAAATGCCAAGCTTCATTTCAGCAGTACCATATCTCCCAGATAAAATCACTACAAGACATACCTGGAGTTCCAGCAGATTTCATTCTGTATCCTGCATTCAAAGCCATTTTTCTTTCTCTCCAGTTATTTCCTATCTTTCTACCACTGTCCCATTTGCCACAGTATTGTACTAAAAGTTGACATTATTTGAGGATATGTGGGAGCTAGAAGGACAGAAAGGAAGGCCCTGTTTTCTAAGGCCAACATACTAGTGGGAAATGTTTAGATACATGACTTTTAAAATTACAGCAAGTTTGGCCTGAGTGAGCTCAGTTTATGAATGATTAAGAGAGCTCAGACAGTCTGCCCACCCTTCCTACCCTCATGCCAAAAGTCAGCATTCAAAAAATTGCTGAAAATAAAAAGTTTGCCTTTAGTAGAATCCAAGGATGATATAAAATGCTCCAGGTACATCTGTCACAAAGGAATTAAAAACATTTGTGCTTGGGTTGCAATTGTAAGCTCTTAGTTACAATGTGCTAATTGTTCAAACTACTACAGTTGTTTTTTTTTTCAATTTATGCACATTTGAAGCTGTAAGAATTTCAAATGCTCAAAGGTTGATGCATTCTGAATTCATACATCATTATCAAAACTGACCTTTAATTCGTATTCCAACCTCGCACATTTTTTTTATGTAGGCTTATCAGCTACATGTCAATGTTGGACCAGCTCAATTTGATGTGCTTTTCCATTTATATGTACCGTTTGTACAGATCAGGGGATAAATCCAGTAATTTCTGCTAGTTGGTGCTGAAATTCTGCATACTGAACTAAGCCAGACTGTGCATGCAAAAAATGCATGAATGCCACCTTCCATATTTAATTTCTTGCTAGCTGAACATACTCACCAACCTTACAGCTGAGATAGTGAGATGCTACAGGCTTCCCCTTTGCAGTTTTGGATAATCATTTACTGAGGCAGACCAGCAGGACTATGCGCTAAGAAATCCTGTGCACTTCTCAATCACAAAATGTATTTCAGATCTGCTATTTGTTGTGTATTATGCATAGTGAAACTACAATTTATCTCCAAGGAAAGTTAACAACTCCCCACTTAACAGTGCTGAAAAAGTGTTTCCTAATAGCCCAGCTCTAGGAACTCTGAACATACATTTGCAGCAAATCAGATATTTTAATAATGGAAATGAATGCAAAGCAAGATTTATTC